CATTTAATACTATTCCTGAGTAAGAAAAGTTGTCAGCAAGTTTCAGAAGTAGGCAAAAAGTGGCACTTACTTTTGGCAGAGCAGCAACTTGATACGCTGCTCTTGCTGGGAAGTTCTTAGTGAAAACTGTAAATTAAACATCCACCAATCATTTATCTTTGCTTGATAAAACAAAGTCCAAAGTAATCCATATAAAAAGGAATTAACAGAATGGTTTCAAACTCAAGGCCATGAGACAAATGGCCTTCTGTGGCAATTTTCTTCTTGTTTTATTTGTCACTAACTGCTCTAATACCTCAGCAAGCTACCATTCATCATCAATAATGCAACTACAGAAGTGATCCAAAGGCTAGCGATGATTTTTTACTCTGCCAACACAGCCTTAACCAACTCAGCTGAACCTGCAAAGATTAAACCAGAGCAGTGATCATGCAATTGCAGAGACAGGAAGGTGGATGAAGGCTCTTTCACAGCAATCATCAGGAGGGAGAAGCAAGTTCCCGACAAAAGAGTCCTTTTGGACTCTTGGTCCCTTTGGAGCAAAGACTCCAAATTTGCATGAAGTCATCATCAGGAAGGAGAAGCAAGTTCCTGACAAGAGTCCTGAGCAAAGACTCCAAATTTGCATGAAGTAAACCTGGGGTCAGCTTCACTTGTACCGAAGACAGACAGAGGAAAAAGGAGGCCTCTTGCTCAGGAGGCCCTGACCTCTGCTCAGGAATTGGCCTTGAGCTCAAGGGTATTAACTCACTTGTACCAAAGACAGACAGAGGAAAAAGAAGGCCTCTTGCTCAGGAGGTCCTGACCTATTCCTCTGCTCATGAATTGGCCTTGAGCTCAAGGGTATTAAAACAACAGGGAAAAATAAAAGATACTTGTCAAAATATAAAAGCTGTATTTACGTCAGCAAATGAAATTTCTACTACTGAGGTCTAATGCTAAGCCCAGAAATGCTAATCTCACTGCACTGCGAAAGAAGGTTAATAGGCCAAAGAACAGCTAAAACTACTTTACTGAGTTACAAATGGTTTTTGCAGTAAGTAAATATGTAACCAGCTGATCAGTTCTTACAGCTCTTAAATACAATCTATCTAATGAAAATACAGTGAATACAATTTTCTACAAGCCCTACTGATAAAATAGAAACAAAACATCTACTTACATTGCCTGTAAATGTCATTAATATCATTGAAGTCTTTCATGTCCGCCATCAAAACAGTAGTCTTCACAACTAGAAATTACATAACTGCAGTTAATTTGGATCTTTGAATTTTATAGAAAATTCGAAAATCTTTAGCTTATTACTTATACTGTATGTTTATTCAAAATATGTATCTGAAATACTGTAGTAGTTTTGAAAAGTCCTGCATGGAGATATTGCCTGTTAGAGCTACTAAATCAGCTTATTTCAACACTGGTTTAGAAACAACAAAGTGTGTCAAAATGTAAATACATTAATTCCTTTAAGAAATTCTCAGGTACACTTAGTGTGATTAAAGAATCTTTTTTTTTTTTTTTTTAAAGACTGAGATTTTTCAAATCACCTAAGAAATGTTGATATCTAGTACATACTAAAATTGGATATCCCTGACCAATTTTGAAAGTTATCTGCTTCAAATTTCATTCTAAGCTTAATTCTTTCCAGAGGCACAGAATTGACAAAGCTGGTGATTTAAAAAGTTGTTTTATTGCAACTGTTGGCAATAAATTGTATCATGTATATATATATATTTAATCTGGACTTCTTGTCTTTTGTCTCCTCCAGCTATTGATAACAATGACACATTTGCTGAACAGCGTTAAAAAAAAAAAAGCTTTTTTTTTTTTTTTTTTTTTTTTTTTTAAATCAAGGTAAAGAAAGTCACTTACTTGCCATCATCATGGCAGCACTTACCATTGCAGTAATCACAGCCTGCAGCTTTTAGGATTTCTCCCATATTTTTTAGGGCCTGTAAAGAAATGAGACAAAATCTTTAAGCATTAGCTGTGTCATATTTAAGCATGTGTTGCAACTTGACTACATCCTTGGTTACAGTTTGAGTTTAACCAGGTAGCCTTCAACAGTCATCACTGGGCAATCAGAACCAGAGATAGACTGAAAAAAAGAAATAATAAAAAGGAACTTCTTATAGACCCCTACTACTGAACCACCCACTCATTAATTAAATGAGAATGTAAGATGCCCTTATCTTATCCTATCTATTACTCCACACATCCTCTTTACTCTTGGAGAAGCAAATCCTGTTTCTTCAACTCAAAGCCAGGCTTCTTACTGGGGATCTGATAGTTTGTTTCCTGCATTTGCTCTTTCCCATATTAAATAGATTCCTACCTCGACCACTAAGCTGTTTGGGTGAAAAAAAAAGATAGGGATGAGATGCATTTTTCCCTCCTGCTTTTCCTCCCATTTTGGAAGATGTGAAAGGTGCTCTCTGAGATGGCCCCATTCCTCATGGGTTCAAGTTTAATTGTGCACACGCCAACTCCATACCAAATGGTTTGTTAGAAGACATCTCACCTGCTTCGCTTCTTCCTTCACCCCGCCAGAGACGAGCTGCCCACTGGAAGGTTCAATACCGATCTGCCCGGCGATGTACACGGTCCGGTCGACCAGCACTGCCTGGCTGAAAGAATCAGTGACATTTCAGGTTGGCCAAAATAGTTCTGAATGAGCTCTCAATCAAAACATTTGACTCTCCACTTCTGCAAGCAGTCTCCTTTAAGAGCATTTTGCATTTACTTCAATGATTTAGAGCATCTCAGAAAGATACAGGACTTAGGTTACACATGCACAAGTTGCCCGCAGCCACCAGCTCACTCTGCTTGCACTCTGCAAGTGCAGGGATGGAGCCTCTTCTGGAAGCACGCAACTATGTAATTATGGCTTTGCATTTGAAGTAAAAGGACTTGTCACTCAAAAGACACAAGGCATTAAGACAGCAACTCAACGCTAACACAGATAACACAGCTTCTAGACTAGAGCTAACACAGAGTACAGGCTGAATTAATGTTTCTTGCATCTGCCCAAATATCCCATCCTAGTTTGAGAGAGGTGGACAATACCTTTCATCTACATCTCAGCTGCAGAGCAATGGAAGGAGAGAGAAGAAAGAGAGAGACAGTGAGAGAAAAAGTAATTATTAAATTCATCATTTTTTTTCTCAAATGGACACTGTGATAACCGAGTTACAGCTGTTAGGTGAAGCCCCACACTGGATCTCTGGCAGTATTTCTCCAGAGTCATGAATTAGGACAGTCAGCACAGCACCCTCATCCCTCCATTCCCAGCACAATCAGCCTCCTCTTGAACAAAACCTAGGCAACCTGGCAAAGTCTGTTCAGACAAATGCAAAATTGAAACCATCTGCAAAACATTTTTATCTAAGTATCGGGTGTGCTTTTGCAGAAGTAAAGTTGGCTATTGGTAATTTTGCTTAATTACACAAAGAGATTAAAGGATTAAAATCAAGATACAAACCAACTAGCAATCATTATGCAAGAGACAATTTTCTTCTCTGCAGATGGTAATTAAAAATCATTTTCAAAGAAACTAGAGAAAGACTCCTTTCAAAATGTCTGTGGTGTGGCAATATAATTTTTCTCATCTCTTCCTATCCCACAAGGAAAAGCTGTCCTTTGACAGCCCAACAAGCCTCTAATATTATGCAAGCTAGTCAGACACCTGCTTGATGCATCTAAATTAGAGGATAAATTTCCTATAAATTCAAATGAGAAACAAAGAGACTTCCTTTAGAGAGCACTTCTATCAGATTTCTTCTCTAACCGCTCTCTCCATCGACCTCACAGGAAGCCTAACCTAATTTAAACACTCAGTAAAATTATTAAAGTTAGGCAATCTGAACAGCGCCCTCACTCCCTTTTACCTCTGTCCCACGTTCCCCTACAATTTCATAAGGGGGAAATATAAAAGAGTTACTAGCTTATCTGATGTAGTAAAATACTTCATTTGATGATTATTCTCTCTGACATCAGCAGGTTATTAAGCTGGAGTAAGTTACAAAACTACACAAGGTAAAGAAGAGAAACTGTCAAAAGAAAGTTTTTGTAGTTGATGCAATCTTGTTGATAGAGAACGGGCGTAAAAATGCTCACAGACCCTTCTTTTATTTTACTTATTTTTTTCTTATAAAGTCCACAACCTTTTCCTATTAGACCACAAACTTTTGCTTCAGTTTGATGCCATGTTCTCCAAGCAACAGCCAAATCTGGGCTCTCTTGAAAAAAAAAAAATCATGCTGTACTGCTTATTATACAGGAAACAACACAACAAACCATATATCACAACAAACCATATATCACAAATCATGAATAACTAGGAAAAAATATGCAGAAGCTTTCTGAAAAAACAGTCAGATGTTGGAGTAACCTTATGGCATTCCCTTCTCTGCTCCTCACCTACTCCTGCAGCCTCAGTGGCATTCCCTGTTCACTGATACTATTAGTAATTCACCAACCAAAGGGTGTACTTACACTGCATTCAAAGCTGTGAGTAATGCTCACAGATTTCAACTACACAAATATACAAAGCTGTATCCTCCAACGAGGGCCGATCCTAGTTACTCTTTAATTTCTGATTCGTTAAAGATTTTAAAATGTGCCTAAAGTTATACAGATTTCGGTTTACTGGAGTGCATAACTGGATGGATATTATGGCCCTAGGAAAACATCGTTCAACAGAATCTGAGTTAAGAAAAATTCTCTTTAAAGACAATGACTGTAAAAGCTAATCAGAATTCTTTTTTAATGCAAATGATTTTTAATACAAAAATAACATCTCTGTTGTGCATGTATACATGTGTTTATACATAAGATTACTGGAAATTGGATGAGGTGATGGAAATACAAAGATATGGTAAAAACAGACCACCACAAACCAACCTGAAGAACTGAAGGAGAATGAATAATGTGACCTCTGCATCTCAATTCTTTGTTCATACTTAAGCCCTCATTCCTCTGTTACCACGCTCAGATCTCATGGCAGAAACATTACAGTTACTTATTGTGGATTTTTGCTCACTGGACTTTGAGAAGTTCACTGGAACCGCATAAACTAAGTTAATGATAGACCTGTCAAATCAGTTACAGGCTGTGCAATAAACAGGATTTCATTAAAAAACCACCAATAAGGAAAAAAAAAAGAGTTGGGATGTAGTTAATTTACAACAGAAGAGGAGGGCTACAGTGAAGGATAGGCTGGTTAGTACATATACAGTGGAAGAATTCATTTTTCCCGTGTTTTACATGTTCTTCTAACTGCAGTAGGTGCCAAGTCCCTTGCTGAAACGATCCAACAATTCATAGTTTACAGAAGTTAACCTTCACGTAATAATGCTGCCTCTGCTTCTGGATTTTTTATTTCCATCTTTGTAATTTCTATAAATGATACAAAAACGGTTCAAAGCTCATCTTAATTTTAAAGTAATTGAAGGGAAATGGAAGGAAAAAAAAACATCTGGAAGGCAGAGAAGTAGAAAACTTAAGAAAACTGTGTTTACAGTGGGGAAGAAGAGTCAAGACTAAAATTCTAAGGGCATTAAAAGCTCTTACAAAATGCTGCTAAAAATCCCTCAGTGCCTTCAAAGTCCACAATATTTACTAGCTGCTTATCCAGACATCAAAGAGAAATCTTTCCCCAATTAAGTTTAGGGATTTAAAAAAACATCAGTTAAGCCCTGAACCATTGCAGCCAACAGGTTCTCTGAGAATATACTTAACAACATCCTACTTATACTATCCCACCAGCTTAGACACTGAAAAGCATTACAAGCCCTTGCTCCACGCACCAAACACAAGAAGATTGGCCTGTCATCTCTCTAACTGCCAAGCACACGCAGGGCCAGGTTTAACACCCACCTCAGCTTCACTCCTGGCTTGCCTATACAACACACAACCCTTGGCTTCGGGCTTGGTTTTTTTTTTTTTTTTTTTTTTTTTTTTTTGTGGCTGGGTGGAGGGGGCGAGGTATCATTTTTTCACCCTTACACAGGGAAAGAAGAACACACACTGCCCATCACTCGTTTCAAACTCACCGTCCATTTCCAATTTTTGGATAACCAGACACTCACAGCCTCCACTTACAACAGCGGGAACATCCTGCCCCCTTCTCCCGCTCCCGCAGCCTCCTGCTGGACCAACCTG